TTTCCGCCTTTTGGCCGTACATTCACTTTTAGTATGGTTTCCACGCAATCCTTTATAAATGAGACCCCTGGAAAGTGAAGACCACAGTGGTGCCTGTGGTCATTGGGGCCCTCGGGGCAGTCACCCCAAACTGGAGCAGTGGCTGAAACAGATCCCAGGAACAACATCAGACATCTCAGTCCAGAAATGTGCAGTTCTAGGCACAGCTAAGATACTGCGCAGAACCCTCAAGCTCCCAGGCCTCTGGTAGAGGACCCRAGCTCAGAGGATGAAAGAGACCACCCGCGGATGGTGAGAAGGGAATTTTTTATAACATACACACACACAATACAAATATATAATATACAAAAATGCTGTGCGTCTCCTGGGGGCTAAGCCCCCCTTGTCTTTAAAACCTAGTGACACCTCTGATAAGAATCTGCTACTTTAGTCCTCAAAATTATAATTACATTATCTATCATAGTAAAATAGATCGTCTCTAGTCTATCTATAACAAAATGAAGTTATTTCAACAATTTAAAAAACAAACGATTCCCCCAAAATCCAAGAAAGGCTGGAAAAAAAAAAACATAAACCAGAAAACAGAGTAATAAAAAAATCAAACATCCTGGTGGGAGCAACAATCCTTCAATAAAACACATTCACACCCGTCATTTCCACATTAATTAGTCTTTTAGCTGACGTCACGCACAGACAGGATGGTCATCTCCATGGCAGCGGAGCACCTCCATCAGCTGCCAAATCCTGCCATTGGATCAGGATTTAAGATTATTCAAAAAAGAAATCACAGATTGTGATTTGATTTGTTAGATTACCTCCAGTTATTGGTTTTAGTTTAGTTTTTCCAGATGAAAAAAAGAGGGCAGTGAGCGTTCTGAAGGTGACAGCAGTCTGAACACTTCTGAGGAAACGTGATGGAGAGACGTCAGTCCTCCAGATGGCAGCAGAGTCAATCGACAGGAAACATGGTGGGAATAAATGTGTTGAACCATTTCCTGCCATCACTCATGAACAAGACGCCCTGACACTTCAACTCCTCTCCCTCTTGTAATCCTCACAGTTGTACTGTTCCAACATAACCAAACATGAGTAAAAACAACGAAACTAAAACCTCTCGTATGTCCCGTTTGCTCCTGGTGTTACGTCTGACCCATCTTTATTCAGCAGCAGCTGAAGCTTCAGCCAGAGACGACCCATTTTTCCTACAGCCTCGAGCCGTTTCTTTATAAAGAGAAGAGAAGAAAGTCTGTGGATGGATCMTTCTGAAAGAGCTACAGAGAAAACAGAGACTATAAAGTGGCTTTTCAGCAGAAATAAAATATGTCTCGATAGTTTTTGCTATTTGAACTTTACGATGCTAACTTTATGTTCTGTTTCAATCAGCTCTGACCTCCTGTCTTTAACTTCCTGCCTTTTGTTTAGTTAAATAAAGATTTACTCAGTTCACATCCTCAGTCTGTCTGTTTGGATCCGTCTGCACACAGCTTTCACAATTTCAAATATTTGCTAAATGAGCTATAAAATAAGGGCGGGTTATGCGACCCTTTGAATTTGACCTTTGCACCAGAAATAAAATCTTAAAAGTACTGAGAACATTTTATTGTTAACAAACTGAAATAAAAGCTACAGCTGTTTTACTTTGAGGAAGAAATTATGCAATCTAGTGTTTTCAGATTTTCTTTTTGTTTTTGTCCTTTTTGTTTTCCTCTGGGCCGCTTCTCTCAGTCACGCCTGTTCCTGGTCTCATTAGTCACAGCTGCAACCACTCTGCCCATCAGCCACAGTCCATATTATCCTGTTTCTGCCAACCCACCAGCTGAGCATTATGAACTTTACATGCCGTGTTCGGTCCGTTCCTTGTGTTCTCCTCGTGTCTCCTGGTGATCCACTTCCTGCGCACCGTGACAGGATTCTGTCAATAATTATGTGTAAAATTTCAAAATGAAGCTCCTTTCTCGTGGGCAACGACTGTTTTTCAGGTTTACTTAAGAAATCAGCTTAGCATTTCTTATCTTCTAAAGGTGAAGGTGGGGTATAATGTCCCTGCTTGTATCTGTGTGTCGGCCTGTTAGCAAAATATYRCATGAACCCGTACGGCCAATTGAACTAAACACAAGAATTCAATGAGTCGTACAAAACTTGGTGTGTTAGAAGCTGAAACTAAACCCCAACACATTTACTGAGAAATAACAGATTATATTGGTTAAACTATTTGGAGTCGATTCTGACTGTTAGCAAAATATCTCATACAGCACAGCCAGTGGACTAAGAAAAAACTATAAATMGATGAATTTGTGACGTGGCGGGGCAGTGATCCACAACATACTCTGGTATAAAAGGTGGCGGGTGATATACGTGTCTTTAAGGAATGCCAGGTCTTTTGTTTGCTGCAGGGATTCAGTTAATCACAGGTTTTAGACTGAACACAATGTGACTGGTGCAGAAATCTTTTCAGAAACAAGTTGAGTCTGTGTGCACAAAACCAAATAAATATAAGTCAATGTATTGATTTGTGTTCATGATGACACATGAAGCTAATGAAGCAGAACAAGATGTGATGTTCAGTCAGTGAACCGATCAGTGTTTTAAACATTAGCTTGTTCTCTTTTACTGTAATTATTTCTTCAGTTGCAGCTCCTGGTTTGGTTTGCGACTCTGCTTGGTGGAAACGGACCRTGGTCTCTCCATCAAAGTAAGGTCATCCACCAACTGGGGCAGATTGCGTCAGCGGTTTGGWTAAAAGGTCAAAACAGCAGAGTCTTAAAGGTTAACGTCCCGCAGCTACAGAGACAAAAGGACGACTCTTTCCTTTTGTCCTCCTTTCAGCAGAGCTTTACTGTCTTATTTCGCGCCACAGCGTCGTTCCTCTTGACCGCCTGGAGCGCTTTTTGACCACATAAGAACATGGTGTGTGTGCTCTCCAGGGTCCTGAAAGAAGAAAAAAGTATATATACAGTATATATGTGTCTATCTGTCCCCGTGTCCTGCTCAGTGAAACATTCAGTTCTAGCTTAGGGGATTCAGAACACCAGCCTTACAACTCCTCCCTGCTCTGACTGTCAGCCTCTTTAACACACACACACAAACACACACAAACACACACAGGTTCTTCCCAGAGGAGGGGCTGCATCAGCGTCTGGTTTGACTCTRCATCTGTGTGTCAGTACAAGTGAAACATGGACAAAACCAGCGCAGCTCATCTGAGAAACTTCCTGCAGATGAGGTCGAAGTAACAGTTCTAYGAATTTGCATCAAACTTGTGCAGGTAAGAGCTTTTATTTTGAAAAACAAGCCTTTTTTTTTTTTTGCTTGAATTTTAAATATATATACACATTTTTTTTTCCAAGAATCTTTGCATGATATTGATATAAAAAGCTACAATTGTAAAAATATCTTGGGGATATTTGAGTGTCTAGATCTGTGGTTCCCAATGTTTGGTTTGGGGACACTMTGTGAGTCATGAAACATCAAGGAAAGGTCCCCAGATTTCCAGACATTCAGTTTAAAGGCAAATAAATTTTGATAGAATATTTTCACCATAATTACTGAAAAAATAAAAAAGCATTAAAGTATCAAGTTAGGTTTGCATATATTGTTATTATTCCCATGTTTCACAGTTATTAGTAAAGTTTGCATATAATATCTGGGGTCACAAGTTTCTGCAGCTGTTATTTTGTGGGCCAGAAGCTAAACAATTTGGAAACTACTGATCTAGATGATACAAKGAGACAATCAAATTGCGGAAAAAATGGATTTGTAAAACCCCACTGCAGGCTGAATGATGCACAAAAGGAGATGCTCCAAGGACAAACAGAGAAAGAGCAAAGTTTCTGGATGCAAGTTGAGTTCTTGAAGAAGCCATGTGGTTTCCCTGCTTCAGAGGATTTAAGAGAATAAATTAAAACCAKAAGCTCCTCTAAATTTTTGCAGCACTGCACTAGAAGTTCAAGTCCCTTTTTATTTTTACACCTCTGTGTGAGGCCAAAGCTCAGCCTGATGTGAAATTTCTCACTAATTCATGGTCAGAACACACTTCTTTGAAATGACAGCAAACCTGCCTCCTGTTCATATAAAGAGCCAAAAAACAAGTCTTATTGGTACAAACGAAACATTAAACTCTTACAGCTCGTCTGTGCAAACAGCTGATGAGCTGGAACACATTCACACCATGTTTGTCCTGAAAAGACAAATAATAAAATCTGTTTACGAGCTGCGCTCTCATCCAACCAACTGCTTTTTTTCCCCTCTCTCTCTGCAAACAAGCCCRCCGTCGTCCCACCTGCCTGTGACGGCTGAGCTGCCCGCGACATTGAAGTCCAAACAGACTTTTTAAAAAGCCCGAGCTTACCCAGCCGAGCGAGCCCTCCTCTATCCTAGAGGCCTATTACCGGTCCAGCTGTTGCAGRCGTTATCTGCTGGATCTAATTACCATGTTTCTGTCCACGTTAAAGAAACCCTGCCCGACTCTCACCAGTAGACCTGCATACCAATTAGGGAGGTCCAGTAATGAGGGTCTTATTAGCGTGAATGGAGGGAAGAAGTGAGGGCGAACATCAAATTACCGTCCTGATTCTGGCCTTGTGTTATTTCTCACCTGGAAACATCACGCAAACCTGTTGGACAAGGTGTTGATTTACTGTCTGTGATGTAAAATAGTAAACTAACAAGGGTTTAATACATCTGAACTGGTGTCTTTTTACACGCCAACATAGGCAGAACATGAGATAATGTCATGATGATACAGTTTAAATGTCACAGTGGGGATTTTTTTGGTTTAATAATCAGATTTAAGATATTTTTCTCTTTAGTTCACTCCTGTTGGGTTTAAAAATCAGGCTTTTATCAGTTCAGAGCACAGATTCCAGCGGGTCTCTGTTTGCAGTCAGCACACCTGTTGTTGTTGTTTTACTTCCTCAGTATATCTTGCCTCTTGGTTTCCTGTGTTCAGAGTAAGATCATCACATTGCCTGTATCGYGGATTAGTTCCTTTTGTTTAGTCAGTTCTGTCACATCCTTATTTGTTTTTAGTTGCCTGCTGATAGGACACGTTAGGGTTTTTTGCTTGTCTGCCTCAGTTTGTTTGTTTTTTATATCAAATAGATTGTGACAAAACCCTGAAAAACAATTAAAAGGTTAGATTCATTTAACATTTATTAGACTCATGTTGAAACGTGCCAGCTGAATTACAGGAAATACAATTAAAAGGTTTGACAAAGTGTGTGCACTTTGTCAAAATTTGTGTACATCAGTTAAACTTGGGTCAAAAGTTTGGTAGAGGATATGATTGTTTGTCTTATAATAAATAAGATGAGCTGTGTGGAACGACTTAAGTGAAGAATTGATCATAAATATAAAAATAAACCATTATGGCACGTTATTACTGTCAAAGATCAAAAGAAAGACTGAATATTTAGACATTTTAAAAACAMAGAAACGAGACTGTGATGGTGGATGTTTTTGGTGCCTTTCATAAAAAACTTAACTCAAAACTCTAAATTCATGCACCTAAACTTATTACATTTTCTACTCTCTTCTATTTTGGCAGATTTTTGAATCAACTTAATCCTGATTTTACTGGCACTAAATAAATATTATATGATGTTCATTTGAGTTTCATTAGTGCTGATTCCAATCTAATGACAGGTTCAAGTTAAGTTAAAATTAAGTAATATTGGGCTTTTTGTAGCCCTTCTTTTCATAAAAGATGTCCTTTCATGTGTCCTTGATAAACATAAGAAAACAAAGTCCATTTTCTGATCATTAAAGGGATTTAATTAGCTCTTCTTATAGCTACCACTTAGATACTTTATCTAMATCATTTCATTAAGAAACATCAAGTGAAAATGTCCATTTAACTCTGACTAAACATGATTACCCAACTGACTGTAGCTGGAATTTTTCCTTTATTTTACAAAAGTACCATTTATTCATTTATTCATACACAAACCAAAGTAAAGTTCGTCATAACTGATTAATTAGGTTTGATTTAATTATTGTTTGTCTAATYAAAATTGAATCATGTTTAAAATAGTTTTGATTGGTGTTTCTCCTCTGTAGATCAGGGGTCAGGGCTGCTATCCTACAAGTGTTACTTGTTCCTCTGCTCCAATATGAATGAGTGATTAACAGGCTGCTGCAGAACATGAAATAGTAATTTTATCACTGAATCAGGTGAGTTGGAACAGAGAAATGGGTAAAACGTGCAGAAAAGTTCCTGTTCCCAGTTTCACACACCTGTCTCTCATCTGTAATCAGCACACCTGTTTCCCTCAGTTATCACCTTTCCTAACATGAAACAACTCATCCTGTTGGGTTTGGATTTTTCCAATAGTTRTGAATCATGTTTACATTGTTTTTTTAGGCAGTGTTTAAATTTTAACCTCACATTGTTTGTTGTAAGTCAGTATTATTACTTTGTCGGCACTGCAACTTTTATATTAAAGGCTGCTGTCCCTCTGTCTGTGTGGGAGGTAATTACGCTGATAAATTCCCCTGAGCTTTTCTCCATCCTATGGTTGCCTTAAAACAAAGGCACAGTTTTAACCCTTACATAATGACTTGCTCAGCAGAGCCTGGTTCCAAAAACAGACCCACATCTATTTGTTTGTAAGCAGATTATAAACATGTACTGCAACACCTAAACCAGCTTATCTACGCCATAAATGCCTAAATCTGCACTATCTTTGCCATCAGGGTGACTTATCGCGGCTACACCTGACCAGACTGAACCAATATGTAGACAAACACGCAGAGTTTGTTTTATCCGTGCCAGAAAAGTCCCAGAATGGGTCTTTGATGAGTAAATGATGGAGTTAGACATGCTGTAATGAAGTTTCAGCTGGGCTGTAAGAGCAGGAAGAAAACGTCTCTCAGGTACAGTATGATCTTATCATGTGGCCTAATGGAGTCGCTTACAGGGCTTTAGCAGTAAGCAGCGACCCGCGTCGTCTCAGCTCGTATTGATTTTCTGATCGGAATACAAAACGTAATCACATTGCAATGCTGCGACTCCATTCCTGATGTTTTTWAACTGAACAGTCGCTGTAATGGTCCTTCACAGTAAAGAGGAGAACGACTGATTGTTGTTGGTTTCACTGTCTCGGGTCATTTGGTGGATGTAACCCTTTCAATGGATGAAACCCATTAAAAGATGCCGTGTCTCCATATGTAGCTGATGCTTTTAACCACAGCACCCTGACAGCTTCATRAGAGCGGGGATTTGGAGTGTGGGTGGCCCCAGTGGAAATCTGTTTGTGCTCTGTGTGTTATAACTCACAGAATGAGGTGTGCCAGTGACAAAGAAAACAAACCTTATTCCCCTTTCCCCCTCCTGATACTATGTTATAGATCAGGGGGTCAAACTCTGTTGCACAAGGGGGCCAAAATTCAAAACTTGGTCCAAATTCTGTCTATTTATATTACACAACAAACTGTTTTTATAGAAATACAAATGATCTTTTTCTAATTAAGTTTTGTGTACTGTAACAGATAAAGACACATTATTGGCATTTATTTTTTATGCCTTGCTCTGTCAATAACTTTTTCATTTATTATATCTTAGCAATATATTTTATCATAATCCAGAAAATTAGGTAAAAAAAAGCCTCAGTAAAAATCCAATCATTTAACTTTAAAAAAATTACAGAACACAATGATTAAGTTGATTCTCTGTTGCTTAGATTACTGAAAAATTCCAACTTAATTCTCTTGAGTTGTAAGTTGTCCAGCTGTCATTAGAATGAACTAAATCCAATGACATAAAGAGAAACCATAAAACATTTTCACATTTAAAGTATTACCTTTGGGGCCAGATTTGGCCCAYGGGCCTGGAGTTTGACACATGCTTTAGATGATTCTTTCTTTTAACCTTGTAGAACAAGGGTAGATTGTTGACATGTGCTTTACAGCCAGTACTAGCCAGACATTCCCACAGCTCCTTTAATGTTGCTTTARGCCTTTTGGARGCCTCCCTGACCAGTTTACTTTCATCCATTTTGAACGGGTGTCCAGTTCTTGGTAATGTCACYGTTCTACCATATTTTCTCCACTTGATGATGACTCTCTTCACTGTGTCTCATGTTATGTCTMATGCCTTGKAAATTCTTGTACCCTTCTGAAATATTTGACCTTTAGTTTTGGAGTACCACCACTGGGGTCTGTGGACCCCAACTGGCCAACCCYTTTGAAAACTTTTTGGAGGTGTCTCTGTGCAAAGGTATACTAGCGTTCCTTCAAAAAATCATTTTGAGATTTCAGAGTTAAATAAAATATTAAACAGATTCCAGCGTCTGTCCCTTCAGTTTGGTTTTATTTAAGTGTTAAGAACAGATCTGATCCATTTCAGGTCACCTAGAGTTTTGGTGAATAGAAATAAGAGTCTATGTTTAGCTTTACCAAAAAAAAAAAAATATTTCCAGGGTTTCATCCTGGCTTAAGTGTATTTTCTAAAAAAATTTTTTAATTTAACCAGCAAATCCCAGTGAGATCACAGATCTTTTAATGAAGGGAGGCCTGGGCCTAAACATGCTTGTTTTTGGACTGTGGGAGAAAACCCACAAAAAGACCCAAGGCCCAACAGGACTAAACTGTTTTACTTCCCAGAGATGGTGTTAAATAAAGGTTAACTAAAAATTAAAAAAGGTTATAAAGCTGCTGATTTAACAGCATACAATTAGAGCTTTGTTGTTCCTGATATGAGTGTGAGGAAAGCTCCAGTAAACACACCTGCTGCTGCCTTTATTTGTTTCACATCTATCTTCTCAGCTCACCTGGGCTTGATTGTTCTAATCAAAACAAACATCCCTTCATAGAAAAACAAAACCCTTCTAAACACATGATTCTTTCACACTCAGGGATTGTGCAGATATGACTCCAGTTTGAAGCTGGTCAGAGATAAAGGATGGAAACCCAGAATGAATCTTTCAGCACCAAYGTCACCAGAGTCACCAACGGCACCAGCCTCTTCTCCGGCAGCCCCTACACGCCCGTGGAGATAGTGCTCATCATCCTGGTGGCTGGATCCCTGAGTCTGATCACTGTCGTCGGAAACATCCTGGTCATGCTCTCCATAAAGGTTTGGCTTTTCTCTGTTTATCATTCTTGATTAATGAGTGGGATCCGTGCATCCATCCCTGCACACCTTGACAAGCATAACCAGACTGAGAGATAAGACTACGACATGTGCACCCCCTTTTGCAGAGAGATAATCTAATAGAAACGAGAGACCATACATCATGCTGCTTAAAAAAAGATTACCATCTGACAGCCTGATCCTTGTTGTTCCTCTAAAGGTAAACAGGAACCTGCAGACCGTCAACAACTACTTCCTGTTCAGCCTGGCCTGTGCAGACCTCATTATCGGCGTCTGCTCCATGAACCTCTACACCGTCTACATTGTGATTGGCTACTGGCCCTTGGGAGCGGTGGTGTGTGACCTTTGGTTGGCTGTTGATTACGTTGTGAGCAACGCGTCCGTCATGAACCTGCTCATCATCAGCTTTGACCGTTAYTTCTGTGTCACCAAGCCCCTCAGCTACCCCGCACGCCGCAGCACCAAGATGGCCGGCCTGATGATCGCGGCAGCCTGGGTCTTGTCCTTCATCCTCTGGGCTCCGGCCATTCTGTTCTGGCAGTTCATCGTGGGCGGGAGAACCGTGGCGCCCAACGAGTGCTACATTCAGTTCTTCTCTAATCCGGCAGTGACTTTTGGGACAGCCATAGCTGCCTTTTACCTCCCAGTGGTCATCATGATCTACCTTTACTGGYGCATCTCGAAGGCCAGCCGCAGCCGCATGAGGAAGGAGAGCAGGAAGACCTCAGGAACCAGTCTGGCAGAAGCSCCTTCTAACAGCCAGGAGGAAGGGTGTGAGAACAACGATGCTGTGACAAAACCAGCTCAGGAGCAGGTTGTAGATGAGAAGGAAAAGGAAATGCTGCAGCAACAAAATGGAAGCGGGCCCTGCACAGACGAACAGGTGGACCAGGTGGACACATCAGAGGTTGTCCACGCTTCAACGTCTAAAGACGTCGCTCCATCACGCAAGAGCTCAGGTGGCGGGAAAAATGCAACGCAACCCTCTTCTCCACAGAATTCAGCAACTGACAGACAAAGTATGGTCACACGGACGCTGTTGCTGGTGAGTTGGTATGTAGAAAACTCAACAYTGTGGTCTACAAATATATTAGCTTAATTTTTAAACAGTAGTGGGCATGATTTTRCTTTTCAGCTAACAGCTTATTACAGCGGTAGTGATTAGGTGTTGTATTTTTAATTTTGATTATTTGGACTAATCCTCAATGTCTCATGGAAACGCTTGACTTTCCCATAAATAAAAGTCACTAGAAAAAGACAGAACAACTCAATGTAGATCAAACTTTTAGTTCATCCCTGTAAAAACATTTGATTTCTAGGAGAGAATGTTGGACACCGWAACTCAAAAAGGAATAAACTGTTCGAATTTGTCTTTTCCTACATGGTACCACCCTTACAACAAAAAAAGGTCAATGCAGTTTATAAACTAATGCCAGAAGCCTTTTTCTCCTGCTGCTCTCACTACTCAGGTAACAAAGCGTGCAGTGACCGAGAGAGTGGTAGCAAAGTGGAGAAGAAGAGGAAACTCTTCCAGAGAGAGAAAAGTGACGCGCACCATCATGGCCATCCTGATCGCTTTTGTTGCCACCTGGACGCCGTACAACGTGATGGTGCTCATCACCACGTTCTGCTCCACCTGCATACCCAACTCGCTGTGGACCATCGGCTACTGGCTCTGCTACATCAAYAGCACCGTCAACCCGGCCTGCTACGCCCTCTGCAACACCACCTTCAAGAATACCTTCAAGCACCTGCTTCTGTGCCAGTACAAGAACATCCGTGGGCGATGAGGGAACAAATGATGGAGCTGAAACTTTGCGTCATGAAAGAAAAAGCTGCAAAATGAAAAGAATAAATAAATAAATTTGACTGAATYCCATTTTAATTTGAAGTCATAAGATAGTGAGTTAAATAATTCAAACAAATAATTTTTTTTTACAAAAAAATGATAAATTAATGGTAGCTTTTTATGTATGGAGACACTAAGTGAGTTTCATTATAAGATGTAATTATAGTGACGCAACCTACAATTATTTTTTGGGGCTGTTTAAAAAAAACATCAAACAACACCACAAATTTGATGATTATAACTCTTATTGTTTCTTTTAGGTAATTTATTTCCAACTTCACGTCTGGATAAGAATGAGGGTTGTGACATTGGCCCAGTCCATATGCTCAGTGYGCACCCTCCACCCCTCTGTGAAGTGTGGATTCAGTCGAAGTGCACATAAGTGTTAGAGTGCGCAGGTTACAAGTGTGAAAAACAATTGAGAATCGGGACTGTACGGATTACGTCATCGATTTGTGCCTCTGCGTCATAACTCCGACATCCAACATGGTGGGACCGGTCATTGTTTTGGCATTTGTACTGCTAAAAATGATAGTACAACTACAAAAAGCAATCGTTTTTAGGAGAAGAAAATGCATGAATCGGAGGAGACTTTATACATCAGAGTATAAGAACTAACTTCTAGAAGTTCTTCTTATAGTGGTTTTAATGGTGGTCGGCAGACTAATTTAAGTGCATTACTGCCACCACTAAACTGGAAGGTGCTCAGTGGACATGGCCAGATTTCTGCCTTTTAATTCAAAACGTCACACATAGCGGTGAATTGTGGGTAACTTTGCCAAAGTCCGTAAAAATGCAGTCTTCGCATAAGGGTGGAAATAGTACCCAAAATGGGCGGGGCCAAGGGCGGATGTGGAGAATGTGGGACACACTACGCACTCAAACCCTTCCAACATGAATGCGCATTTGAAGTGCACAAGGGCGGAACGAGGGTGGGAGTGAAAGTATTGGGACAGGGCCATTGAGAATAGTTGTTGAGCCATTTTGCATACGCACTAACAGGAAGTGATGACGAAGAGTAACAACTCAGACAGCAGTGAAAAAACTGACGCTTTTTTATTTTCATTTTGAGTCGCTGACAAAGAGAAAGTCAGAGCTCAAATAATATTGTTTAATAAAACATAAACCTGGGAGTTTGCCTTTTTGGGTTTTCTCCTTTGTYGTCACTTCCTGTTTCATTTAAGCAAAGTCAATTTTTTTTAAAAGTCTTTTATGTGACAAAATGGATGAAACTATGACAGATTTCTTGATCATTAGGACTTTTTTCATTTTTTGTGTAAAGGAAATGCATGTCACATGCACTTAAAGGAAATTTTACACAAAATGTTTATTTTAATCAAAGTATACTCAGAGTTGGGTGATTCTTGCTTCTTTTTATTTTGGGCACTTGCAGGGCTCCACATAGTGGTGGTGCTCCTCCAGTTTTTTTTTATAGTTATTTTATTTTTAACAGTGCATGAACCTTTTTCATATTTCCACATAAACAGTATGTCTTTTTATTAGCTTCTAAAGATTTCAGTAAAGACCAAGAACTGTATTATATTCTTTAAAGCTCTTTTTTATTTGTTCTGAGCTTTATTGTGAAAAACCACATTTGACTAATCATTTAAGTGTTTTACTTTTTTTTTTCTTTTTAGGGAGTTTTATTTTAAAGATGTGATTCTCTCTTGGTTCTTTTTACATAAAAGTGTTTAAATGTTGTGAATGTGACAACAAAGCAAATGACGACACAAAAAAACCTGTATGAGAACAATGTAACACTAATGTTGTATTACTAAAGCAAATGTCGAGCTGTTAACAGGAAGAGTTTAAGCCAAATCTGTCTTTAAATTGAACCAAATGAAAATATGTAATTATCGTATTCAAAATAATGTATTATGTGAGTGTTTGTTCAATTTTCACTCACATCAGGCTCACAGCTATTAACTGTGTTTGTAATCTGTAATGTGTAAAAGGTTGTGGTATTTGTTTATATTGACTCTGCTTTATACCTGTTTTATGAAAATAAAAAGCTCATGTTTGGTCATGTTGTTTGGTGTTTTTCATGTTTCACTACGAGCTCGTGTCTCAATTTGTGCAAAATGAAAATAATAAAAAAAATCAAACAAGAAGCTGAAACTAAAAGAAATAAAAGGTCCTCACTTATCGTCCACTGATACCAAAATGTTCACACTTTTATAAATGTAACTTTTTTTAGTGCTGAACGAAATTAGACTGGTATTTAACTCAGTGCAGGATGAAACACAGCTGCATGTAATTAATAACTGTCATAACTAACATGAGGAGAGAACAGATGTGGAATTGTTTCGCCCTCTAGTGGATCACATCTGCACCTGGAGGCAGAGAGAGGAAGAAATCTCTTCATCTTCCTCAGCTACAATGTTAAATGTTTGGTCTGTGTTTGTGTAGTATGGAAAATATGTATCTATATATTTATATTTTACACTTATTCAAGCCAAACTTGACATGATGGATAAATCATTTTGAATTTATTGGCAAAGAAATAATTCAGCTTTGACCCAATAATTCCTCTACATGTTGGCATTTGAATGTGCAGCTTTTGGACATTTTCAAACTTTTACACATTTTTAGATGTTTTGATATTACCTACTGTAAATCCCAACCGAGTATTAGTTTTCATCTGCTTTGATACAACTTGACATGAYGAGGCACAAATATGTTTTTGAAATATATCCCATTAATCCAAATAAACTCATTTATGGGTTTAGTTAAAGCACCTTTTTGGAAACTGAACCATAGCGTGCCTTTATTTTTGAAGCCTTTGTTTTTCAATTGAAGCTCTATTATCCCTCGAAGCATGTTAGAGTTTTAAACTGAAATTAACTTGTGCTGAAAAGGAACAGTGATCCTGTTTGTCTCCTACCAAACTAAAGCTTAGCGTATCTTTAAAATTAGCCAAAAGTCTTGTTTGTGTTCAGTAAGGATGATCGRCTGTGGCAGCCATCTTGGATAAGTCTGGCTTTAAAAGTACATCAGTTGATGATGACTTTGAGAGCTTCCTTCATATCTGTTAAGAAACATTTTATGAACACTAYGAACAAACACTCACACACATGGGTGTGTTTTTCTATCTTTACACAGACTTTACATTGATTTTCACTTAATTTCTATAGTCTGACCATGACCTGTACCCTGACCCCACAATGCCATTTGAACTTACGAGGTCTGGGCTTTGKTTCAAAGTAGTAGCAGGTCCTCACAAGTTGGTGTGTATTGGAACAATGGCCCTAAAAAAGTAACAAAAACAAACACACACAGGAGCAAAAGCATTATCACTGCTGAATCACTACAGTTTGTTTCTGTATCTTTCTAAGAGCACATTAAGTTCAGCTCGGGGCCATTGTTGATGCTGGTTTATTGTAAACAAATCATCACACCTGTTTGTTTTTGATGTAACCTCTTTCTCCTGTTGCTGCTCGTATCATGTTTTCAGCATCAACACAAAGACAAGAAGCAGCTATACAAGTCTGGAGAATTTTAAATATAATGTATACTGGTCTTTTCAGGCATGAGCAGGGTGTATTGCTGTTGTTGTGAGGACATAAAGTTGTTTTGTTTTTTTCTGTGAGGAATGTTTGTGTCTTTTCAGGTCACACTTCTCTGTGGTCAATTATCTGCCGCACATCCAGTCAAAGTGACCAAAGAGTGCTCTGTGTTTGGTGTGAACACACGAGGATGAGGGTGGACGATGAAGGGCAGAAACACCTGAGCAGAAATCCAGCTCACTTCATCACAGGCTGTGCGAGGAGCGATGGCAGAGAAGAAGAACCGGATCGGTGCCTCCTGGGAGGACCTGGCTTTACCTGAGGAGTATCCGGAGCCCTGCGTGGACAGAGACGGAGCTCAGGACGCTCAGGCTGCTGGACAAGAAGACCCCAAAGACAGAGCGATGAAACGCAGCACCAAGCTGCTGGAGATGCTGAGGGCCGCAGAGAACAGGTGGGACCGAGAGAAGACAGGAGCACCTGAAACTGGGACAAAAGACCAAATCACAGAGGCTCTGAAGACTAACATGGTGAGCAAAGACTCTGCATATATTAAAGAACTATTTTTAACTCCTGTAATCAGACTCCACAGGAAGCATGGATTTGCATCTACTCAGACTGTTAATGATTTAAGTTGCAGGCCTCTGGATATGTTTGACCAAACTTTGCAATCAGTCTGTCTGAAAGTAAGGAACTGATTCTGAGTCTGTTTACAAATGTCAGAGAAGATCAATAAATGTTTTATGAAGTACCTAAAAGCCTTTAATGAAAAAATATTATCCAGCTGTTTCTGTCATAACAAACAGAAGCAGCTTCAGTTGAAGCTTTTGCAACAAAACATTTGAAAAAAAATTACCAAGTCATCAGATCTCTGCATTCTGCTTATTTACTTTACTAGATTAAAAAAAACGTAGTTATGAGGTCAGAAAAAAAAAGGAAAGCAACACATCTCTCCAGGTTTTTCTTAGTTATTTGTTAAAAGAACTGGTTACACACAAGAGTCACCTAGAACATATAAAGTATGCAGGCGCCCGCCGCCAAAGGGTCATGTTTGTGCATATGTGCGTGTTCATAAAATCTCATGATTCACTGAGCAACTAATGAAATGAAACGTACAGGAAGTACCTACAAGTGGTAAACCATTGGAAACAACCCAATTCAAAATGGCCTCCATAAACGGACTTTAACAAAACAAACCAAAAAAATGGCTAAAACTCTGAAATTTCATAACAAAATGATCCTAGAACAAAACTCTGGCGAAATCTGAAAGGTGGTGGGTGATATGTTACTTCAAGAAACTGTTTAATTTGTAAATTAAAACTAATGAACAAAATAGAATAATTATCAGAATGCAGAGAAATAGTCAATGTGAGCAAACCCAGTAACAGATCGAGACAGGAGACTGGGAATACAAAAGATGTTTTTATTTACAGGTGAAGCAGGACAGAACCTGGAGCAGAAGGTTTACAGAGGTGAGTACTGTCCAGATAATCCAATGTGTAAATGAGAGAGAAGATAGTTGTCTTTCTTACAGGTTGGTGCAGGAGGCTCAGTGTGGAGGTGAGTATTTACAGGTGAGAGTTTCTCAGGTGAGTATTTACAGGTAAGTGGTTCTCAGGTGAGTATTTACAGGTGAGGGTTTGTTCCAGAGTCGGTGGAGGCAGACAGGCAGTGCACAGATTGGGTCGGGTGAGAGGCTMTTCAGGTAATTATTCACAGGCAGGTTTGCACAGGTGGATCGCGGGGCACTCGGGGATTTATAGTCCTGGAGACAGGTAAGTAAACAAACAAATGCTAAACAAACTCTGGTTAACAGGAGTAGCTTGCAGCTGAGATGCTTTACCCAAGAGTAAGCGATGCTTCAGCGAAAGTCTGATCCACCAAACAGGCTGATGAGCAGGATCCAGAACAGGTGAGAGTGGTTAGTGCTGCCAGCCAATCAGGATCGAAGCAGGTGACTTTACCAAAATGCCTCAATAATGCTAAATACTAAGTTGTTTTTCTGGTTTTTGTCATTGTTGGAAAACAAAATTTTCAGTCATGAACAAAAGCAGCATGAGTTTCTCACCAAACAGGTGGATAAACAGTGTCTTTAAAACATGTCTAACTAAGGGTCTTCATGAAAAAGACAAAAAAGAAGATATCAAGTCAAATGTATTTATAAAGCAGACCGGTGAAATATGCTCAAATCAAGTTCCTGTTAAGGGCCAAGCTACAGCAGTCTGGACAAGCTGGAGATGGGAAAGGGAGACTTGACCAATGCCAACATAAAGAGAATTACAATCTAGTCAGTTAGAAGTATGTATTATTTTCTCAAGGTCAGGTCTGGTAAATGGTGATGAAGATACAGGTGCTGGTCATAAAATTAGAATATCATGAAAAAGTAGATTTATTTCAGTAATTCCATTTAAAAAGTGAAACTTGTATATTATATTCATACATTACATAAAAACTCATATATTTCAAATGTTTATTT